GGAAAGAACGCCGTGCTTGCTTATGATACATCCAAAAAGTGTTATTTTGCTATCAGCGAATATGCATTTCTTGAGGTTGGCATACATATTATGCTCACGCATCAGTGTAAGAACATTTCGGACGTGTGTTCTGTGAACCTTTACGCCCTTTCTGTCATCTATAGCACGGTTATTTAAGAACACTTCATTAAAATAGTTAGGTGCGAGTTCCTTCACGGATCTCAACAGATTCGTTACGCATCTGTCAACGTAGCAGGAGTTTTGCTTAATTCATGTGGCATAACTAGCCGCTAAATAAGCATACCGCTTGAAAGCTCACCGCTGTGTACGGGATATCCCGTTCACGCATAAAATATGAAGAACCCTTCCGTCAGATTTATCGATGAAAGGATGGTACTCTTTGCCATACCATCTATAACGTCATCCTTCCGTGATATCTACTTTCTATCCATAAAGTTGAAGCATTCAACTTGTTGGAGGCATGTACCATCCGGCATCCTTCTGTGGCCTTACAGACACAGAAGGTAAGATAGCAATGTGAAAAAATGGATTTAATCACATGTCCCGCTGTCAGATTATCGGCAACGAATTCTTCTATCGCTAGCACGGGTTCAAGAGGCAGTGGCCACTGCCTCATTACACAGTACGTAAGACCTGGTTTCAGGTCGATCTCATGACGAGTACCCTAATCCTTTGGCAACTCGCATGGAACGGATTAAGGGAACACGTCCTTTAATTTCGTCAAATCATCGTCGAGAGGATTTTTCTTGAGCAACTCCTAAGATTGAGACGTGTATTACTCAATCCGAGTCTTCTCATTAAAGACACTTTTGTCCATCGATGAGATGCTGAGAACCTGTTCTTTCTCGGCAAATACAACTTCCGACTGAATGTCGGTCACGTACTCGTCCTCTGTGACGAGTTCACAGATCTGTTTGACTTTGCCACTAAACATATCTCGCAAGAACTGTATCGGTTGAAGCGTTGGCAATTGTGTGATCTCCCGATTCAACTTTGGAGGTGCGATTATATCAATTATATAAGCGCCTACACTTGACTCGTCATAAAACAAGACATTCGATATCTCGGTTTCTTTATGAGAAACCTTTTCCACAGGCTTCTGGGGACATACCCCAAAGAATGAGGTCTTGTTACCTCATTTATTCGTGCTTGTGCAATTTATTCCTCAATTACGTGGGGGTTTATTCTTTCGACGTCTTCTAGCTGTAATTGCGCTACTACAGCTAGATCCCTCTATGATCGTTTTTCCAGCCGATCAAGGATCATCGTGTTGCCCAGCGTGGGCAACCAGTTTATTTTACCTTAAATTTCGCCCTCTAGACGTACACCCATGTCCCGATACACTCGACTTCTTGGAGTGGTGAACCTTCGGCGCTGCCTGTGCATCCGCACAGCAGCCGACAGATTCCTCCACAATGTGATTGGTTGTCACATTGTAATATTGTGAAGTATTTTTAACGACCCTAACGCTAGTGAGGCCGTCGCACTCGCTCGCAGTACATCCACACACTTGCAGACGCTTTAAGGCGTTCATCATATGTCCACCTGATGACCGAGTGGCGGGCATCTTCACGGTTCGATGCTGCCAGCTGACACTTGGTTAGTACTTTCTGAACCAAGTCAAACCTAGAAGGACATCAAACTTGTCATCTAGATTAAGTGCGATGAGGTCGTCATCGTACTGCAAATGTTCAAGCGTGTAGTGAAGCTCCACTACACGTTTTATCGAAGTTATCGATGCGTCTGTTGCTAGACGCACCATCTCCTTCGTCGGAAGTACATCGCGCTCACCAGAATTGAGCCTAAGATCCTTTAGCAACTGGAGACGAACAAAGTTGTTCAACGCCCCCACAGTCTACTAGGGCACGAAGTGACAAATCTTCTTTTACTTCTAACTTTAAGGTGATGAGAGGCACCTCGTCACCAAGCGCAGAGACACACAGTGATTGTAAGTCTGGATCAACTTTCACTAAGATATTCGCAAGTTTTCTTGAGCTTGCTGAATCAGCAGAAGGCTCCACCTCTACTAATTCTGACCGTTTTTTTGGCGTTCTACCACGCTGTTGCAATTTCGCAACAACGGTGGACCCGCTTCTGTTGCCCTTCTTGACAAATGGTCTATCAGTTCACTCAGTGTTTCGAGACACTGGGCGTAGGTTGCAACACTCGTAAGCGTAGTGTCATAAGCTCCGACGGCGATTGCACTTCTGCAATCCCTTATTAGCAAAGAGCGAGGTCTCTCGCTCTCAAAATATTCGAGGTCAACAGGTTCTAGACCTCCGACTTCTTTTTGTCTTGGGGGCGATATGAACCCGAACAAGCGTGAGTCTGTCACGAGCTTATGTCTTCCTGTTCCACAACTGGTATCGCTTCTTCTAGCGCATTCAGTTTCAAGCGGAACAGGTGAGTCTTGACGGGATCATTCGCAAGAATTTGTATGAACACATTGATCAACGTGTGTACATGAACTGGGTTGGCTGTGATACAACTCGCAAGAATTCGTATGTGTTGGTCGTTAGTGTTCACATCACGCTTACCCTGCTTGAGTTTCAGGAGCTCTGATCGAGCCCTGAACTCAGCCCTTGGATGTTGACTAAAAAATTGAGCCAAGTGTTGAAGACCTTAAACGACCCAAACACATATGGGTCGTGCAACTTGATCCCTAATACTAAGGTTTTAGAACGTCTAGCCAGGTTCGACTGAGCAAACGCGACTTGAATTAGCTCATCGACGATGTGACAAGCCCTTATGGCGTCGTCCAACTCGACGAATCATCTAAGCAGGGAGTCTTACTCAACTCCTCTGTACTTTGAGATGTCCACTGTTAAAGTTTCGGGTCGACACGCGTGTGTCACCCCAGGAATAGCAGTATGTTTCTGCTGTTGTCTCAATAGTTCGAATTGTTGAGCACCCTGCTCTCTCAACAGCTCAGCCCGTTGAGAACCTTGCTGGTGAATCAGGGTTACTTTCTCCCGTGTCTCGTCAAGTTCATGTTGTATGAACTTGACGACGGCGGCATGCTGCTTATCTGTCCCGTGTGGACAGCATGGAAGAGACAGCATGTACGCCCACGATCGAACCCATTCGTTCGACCGCACTTCGTTCGATGTCACTCAAATAGGAATAGCTTTTACGCGTGGCGTAAATAGCTGTCAATTTCATCATCCAGCACGTTCATGTTGGATGCAGGAGTAGCAGGCCTTGTACGGACTATATAGTGCTACCAGGTGTAGCGGGGCACTGGTCACTAGTACTGCTTCAGTACTAGTGCACCTACACTGCTTTTAGTCTAGGTAGTGCTGCGCGCCACTTCACGTACACTGTACATGCAGAGGAAGGCTAGCTGATGAACGACGCGTTCAATAGGAGTAGAAAGTAAAACTGTGTTGAATATAGTTAAGTCCTAATTATGTTTAGTCCTAGCTTACTAAAGTGTACCTACAAAAGTGGATGCTAAAGTTTTGCTCACCACTCATTGCGCGCGTCCATTGTTGATTGGACTGCTAGAGCTGGCTGATTGGATGGCCCATATCAGCCAATCGGTGAGTGCTTCAGAATATTACCCTTTATGATAAATTCACGAGCATTATCAACCTTTTTGATTATGTTCTTATCAACACGTATCAGAGTTGATTACATGGAACAGGCTCACTCCCTTACAGCTAGGAACGGGTTGCGCATGGTGCAGTAGAAAATGAAAGAGCCGGTGGGTTGTTGTGAGCTGAATAATCTACCCATAGGAGTTTGATGGATGGATATTTAAGAAATGAATGTGAGAAATAGGAGACGGAGGATGGTCCTGCCCGTTTGCGCCGTCAACCACAAATTGCGACCGATGAAATCGAACTACTTAATGAAAAAGAAAAATCAATTGAGGGAGACTCCTCTGTCATTGAGACGCATGACCACAACCGCTTACTTTTCAATGCATCAAGTACTACGGAAGAAAGTCACTTCACACTTATCGTTCGCCTGAGGTGCGAGATTTTTGCTCGTCTACGGTAAAAAGGCTCGTGGTCCACAAATGTGTAGACATTGCCTGGCCCAGCTCTCATTGCTTGTAGGTGGGTATCATTGACGAGCAACATCGTTGTAGACAATTTCGCCAAAGAGCTGAGCTCATTAGCAGTCGACAAATGGCTTCCACACAACCTGAGTTTCAGTAGTTTCTCCTTCTTATTGCTCAAGCGAGCTAGCCCATTGCAATTGAGCGCAAACTGGCCCGCACCATCGTTCGATCTAGAACCGAATTTTTGTGACAAGCGCGCTTCTACCAGTAGGTGTGACGTTCTATCCATCGATGTCTTGTACGAATACAGAAGTGTATTATGGATTCCACCCACTGTTCTGAGGAACGAACACTATTGCAACTTTCGTTTACGTAATTGTCAAATGTATGCAAGGTACAGGAACTAAACTGCAGCAAAGCAATTTCTGACGGGAGAGCTGTGTACGAAGTGTGCTTCTGTAGAATAGCTTTGTTACGTACTGTTATGCTTGAAGTCGTGCGCTACAGAATAGTCATGCTTAATAGGTTTGCTTTCCTAAATGGTCGGTCATTAAATCAGTAGTTTCAGCGTCGCATATTTGACAAGCGCTTTGATGTGCGATAAGAAGGGTGTATTGCTACATTAAGCACGACGACCAGACTGGATCACAACAATCCTGTGTCTTGCCCTCGCCCCGGTTCAGCATGACAGCTCGAAAGCCACGTATCGAGGCGAAACCAGTGCTACAGGGCACGGATACATTGTCAACTGGAGCTCCTCTTTCTCTTCGTCACCTTTTTATTTCTAGTTTGCGGCTCAGAGCAACACAAACGCATCGAGAGAGCACTATGGTTCTTGGATGCAGCTCTCTCCGTTGCACCCACTCACCCATCCATCCTCGTCCCTCTTTTCTCTCCTTTGCGTCGTCTCCATCTTTACTTTTTCTTCTTCAATAACACACCAACAAAAGCCTTGTCGTCCATTTTACCATCAGCAGCAGCTGCTCTTGTCTTTGCCAATGTCCACATGCGTTGCTCCCCTCACCCTCAGCCCGCTACTTTTCGTAGCTCCTGAAGTGATCACCCTGTCGTCGACACTCGGAGCGGCGTGACCCCGTGAGGCCCCACCGCGGCTTCTTGAGAGCTCCTCTGTCCTGCTCACCTGTCTCTGATGCGTTTGCACTAACACCTGAGTGCTGTTTTTTGCTTGCAGTTCTTTGCTCGCGGGAGGTCGAGCCAAAGGCTCCCTGTCTCGGTCTTCCTCCTCCTCGTCTTCTTCGTCATCAGCAATCAAAGCACTGCTCTTCTTCTTCTTGCCCCCCGTGCGACTCAACATGCGACGTGTGAGCTCCACAAACACGTCCTCGAGTCCGCGGTTCAGCTTGGCCGACGTATCAAAGTGAGCAGCTCCCACGGACGCAGCGTATCGCTTCGCGTCTTCCTCCGACACTTTGCGATTGCGATGCAAGTCGCTCTTGTTGCCTGCGATGCAAATGGAAATGTCGTCGCCCACAATGCGTCGCAGCTCGCGCACCCACGTCCGGACTTTGTGGAACGACTCGACGTCTGTAATGTCGTACACGAGCAACGCGCCGTCGGCATCGCGGTAGTAAATGGGGCCCAGCGCATGGAACCGCTCTTGTCCAGCTGTGTCCCACAGCGAGAGCGCCACGCGACAATTGTCTACGAGCAGGCGCTTGTCCAGGTACGACGCCTGCAGGGTCGAATCCTGTCGTTCGTCATACTCGCCTTTAATGTACCGCAAGAGAATGGACGTTTTCCCCACGCGACCTGCAATCGAGAATAAATCATGAAAAAGCGAGAATCAAATAAGAAAACCCACCAAAACGACCGACTCGCGGTATAAAAAGAGAGAGGCAGCGAGACAGGAAGCAAGCGAGAACGAGATGCTGCAGCTATGGCTACAGCTACGGTCAATATCGTACCTTCGCCTAGTAGAACGACCTTTAGCTTGGTGGTCGTGCGCTCGCGCATGGCGGATGCAGTTCGTCTAAGGAATAGAGAATAGGGAGAGAAGGCAGGAAGGTCGGTCGGGTGCGTCGTCGATAGAGAAGGAGAAAAGAGATGGGGGTCGGGGTCGAACGACTCTCTATTTTGATCAGCCTGAAGGACCCAATTCGCATGGGTTCGGACTCGACGCCGATCGATCATTGGTCGAAAGAAAAGACTCTTTTTGTGCACCTTCTTGTCTCGTGTTCCGACCCAATTTGTTGAAACGTTCTTGTCAAGCGTGACTTGAAGTAAAACCGAAATGATGATGATGTTGCATCGACGTCTAGCGCGGCAGCGATTGTGGACAGCGACCCGCGCCACGTCAAGTAGCAGCGGCCAAAGCAGTCAACGGATGAGTATTGACAGTCTACTGGGTTCCAATCTTCGAGCGACAGCAAAGGAAATGTCAGCAGAAATACTGCCGGCTCTTAAAGTACTGTCGGAAAGTATCGGATTGCTACGTGGGAGTCCGGCGCTTCGCAGCTGGAACGCCTCGGATTGGCTCGTGGGTCTGTCGGTGCTCGCCCAGTACAAGACGAAGCAGCGGGAGACGGGACGGCACAATGAAGGGATCGCGACGAAACCAGTGGTGGTCGAGCAGGTAGGCAAATGTACTGCTTTAAGTAGGCGTGAAGATGTACTGCTTTATGTTAATACGAAAATGTCCTGCTTTATGATATTATTTAACAGGTGATGTTATTTATGTAGGTGCTCCTGGCCAAGTTACTGCGCTACGTTCGCGTGTGCGACGCCGTGTACGCGTCTTCTATTGACGCTTTTTGTGAGGAAGCTGCCGTGTCACGGGAGTGTGTGGTGCGGGCACATCCGGGAGGTGTTGTATCACCCAAGTGTGTGATTCTAGTTGACCACGACCACAAGGAGCTCGTGCTTGTCGCGCGTGGCACAGCTTCGCTGCTGGACTTTTGCACTGATCTGTGCCTATACAATGAGCCTTTTCAGCATGGACAGGGCCACCGTGGCATGGTGCATGCAGCAACGTGGCTCGTGCACCATTTACGCAATGATCTACGGGAGCTGTCGGATAAGTATCCGGACTATCGCGTGGTAGCAACGGGTCATAGCCTAGGAGCAGCAGTGGCAGCACTCAGTACTATGCAGTTGCGAGAAGAGTTCCCGGACATTCATTGCTTTGCATTTGGCACGCCAGCCTGTGTAACGCAGGAGCTAGCGGCTGGCACGTACGACTTTGTGACGACGGTAGTGAACGGGTATGACTGTGTGCCGCGTTTGCACCAACACTCACTGATGAAGTTGCAAGAGGAGATTCGACGCTTCGATTGGCGATCAGTATTGAAGCGGATGGTGGCGGAGAAAATCCACGAACAGAAGGCTGCAGTGGAGAAGCAGCAGCGAGAAAAGATTGCGGAACTGCATCAAGCGTTGCGAACGATGGACTTTCTGCAGCTAAAGGAGCGTACAACTAATGCTACAACCAACCTGGCCAAAGTGAAAAAGGTACGGAAATGTATCGGGTTGTCATGTGTAACAATGGCTGGGCTAACAACGTTTAGGCTGCGTCTGAGAACATGTCGAAGTTTGCACACGATGTCGATACGTTATTATCTGACAAGCTGGGTGCCACCTTCTCCATTTTCAAGACGGACAGACATTTGTTAGACCATGTCTCGTTCATCAAGAACTACATGAAACTGGAGGATCTTACGAAAGGTAGTGTGTGTCAGACATCACGCCTGCATCATCATCAGCTTGAATTCTCTGAACCTTTCATGGTTGGCTGACATGTTTCAGGTGATTCCACGTGGTGGAAATACGTCGATGAGAGTGTTGCTGCTGTGGAACGGCTATTGCCAGCAATCAAGAAGCCCGAGGAGCTTGAGCGCGTGTTGGTGGAAATGAGAGAAATACTTCAAAAGACATCTGCAGTCTCAGGAAAGCTCTTGAAGGTCAATGATAACCACGGTATGCCCCGCTTCGGTAAACGTCCGTTGTGTCATAAGTGTTGATTTGGTTTTTTGCTTGTTCAAGATAACGCGATGGAGTCCTCCTATGTGCAGAGTTTTCATTCTCGAGTCAATGGTATTATTGACGCGACGCGTGCGTCGCTCAAGACAAGTGTGGGCGAGCAAGTGTAAGCTTGTCTTTGCCGCGGTCTTTTCGGTTGCAGGTAGACTAACCGTTTTTCTTAAGGTATAAGGTGTCTAGTGCTGTAACTTCAAATGTTAAGCACTACGTGGGCGCGATCAAAGACGAAACGGAAGCATTAGGAACAGTTGTTCAGGACGAGTTTGTTGAAGTGGCTGGTACGATTTCTCGTAATCTACCGTTCACCATGAGATCGGAGAGTGAGAGCACCTTGGTCGATCAGTCACCTGAACAATGCACGAAGAATCGCGTTGATGGCGAAATGCTCGCTGATGCTGATCCTTCAGAATGGATTGAAGGTGAATCAATCAAAGAGATTGAGCAGGAATGGAAGGAGCTCCAGGCGAACCAAAGGAAGTGGGAACAGGACAATGAGCTCTGCCATGATCCGTTGTTTCCTCCTGGGCGAATCCTTTATTTAAACAGCATGGCCACCAGACCTCCGCAGGATAGTAGTGAAGACGGTTGCAGCGCTAAGAACGACCACGAAGTCTCAGATGTGGCAGAGTTTGTGGAGGTTGCTATGGACGAATTTAGTCGAGTGGTGCTCTCGAATCGCATGCTGCTCGATCACCTCTGCACAGACTACGAACGGGTTCTTCAGCGTCAAGCTGAAAAGCTCGAGTCCGCGCCGCACACTACATCATCGCCTTAGATATAATGGTTCGTGTCTTGTAACAAGCAGACACGCATTTGTTAATGAGACAATATGCAATACTTATTGACACGTTTCACGGCGAGTCTCCACGTTGGGGTGCTTCCCTGTCACCGGCAGGTGAGAGAGGCGGCAAACTCACTCGCACTTCGCGGGCTTCACGCGTAAGGAAGTCTAGCATGGCTGCGCTGCGACTGATAACGGAATGCATGATAGCTGCCTGCAGGAACATGTTCAGTGCGTCCTGTCGATGTTTTGCAACCGGAGCACGCGTGCTGGGAAGAAATGTTCGTGGCGGTAGTAGAGGGAGACCATCCAGGACATATCCTGCACCTTCTAGCTTTGCACACAGCTCTCGGAACTCGCTGAACCGGCGGAATACCGTCCACTGATAAGGTCCTCCGTACACTTGAACTTGGAACACGCTGAATGACAGCAGCTTATCGATTGCACGGTCCGGGACATTGGCATGGGCATCCTTGTTCTGCAAATGACACACTTCTACACGCACGGAGCGTAGAGGCTGCGACCGGAGATCGTCGTTTGAGACTCCTGAGACTGTAGTGTCTTGGACATTTTCCATGAGTACATGCAGATCTGTGCGGTCTTCGTCGTTGGTTAATAGTCCGGTTGTTGCGCTGCTGAAACGGCCGCCACCAGCAATGCGAGACTCCTCCTGGCTTTTTTCAAGATTCAGAAGAAGATATCTCGTTGTCGACACGTCCACCCGCGCTGAATCGACGGCTACTTGAAAGTTCGTTGCCGCCACCTCGCTGTCGCATTCGATGTTGTATGATCGGGATGGAGACGTGTTCTGGCCGATCTTGAGGGAAGTGCCTTCGACAACAATTGCCAGCGTCGAGTCGAGCGCTACTTCCCACAGCTTCTGACCCGTCTTGCCACTCAGACAAATGAGGCGCTTGTCTGTAAGCAGCAAAAGTCCGCGGTGGGGTTCGATGCCATAATCCACATGGTACACATACCTGCGCAAAAGCAGTTGAAAGGAGTAAGACACTTGCCGACAAAGTGCACGTAGTACAATATACGTACTCGTCCGTAGCGTCCAGCGGTGTCAGTAGCAACACAGCGTATCCCCGTGCTTCTCGCTCACTATAGGACACGAGAACTCCATCCGAGCTATGCACAAGCACAAGGTCATGTTAAAACCACATGATAACATCGATCCAATGTAAACAGCATGTGCGCGCACCAAATACGGCGCGGTAGTCGGAAGCGCGTGATTACGTCGTATGCATTACGGTCAGTACCGTCTAACGACTGCGCACTTGTCTTTGCGCCTCGTGAAAGACTGGTAAGCAAATCCAAGAAACCAGCTGTGGGCTTCGCGATCAAGCCCGCGACGCCTTTGCCGATACCCACCACAAATCCACCTGCACCATCTTGTTCTGCACCACGCACAGGTGCAGCCACTACACCTTTGATTCCATCCCAGACACCGCCCACGAGCCCTTTGCTGCCTTCGGCAATTCCGTCACCAATGTCATTGATCTTTTTTATTTGTCGCGTTGAAGCGCGCTGTCGCTGCGCATAGTACTGCTCATCCATCGCCAATAATGCGACACCCTTGCCAAGCGTCTCAGTGATTTTGCCAGTTGTGTGAAAGATACCTACAGCCGTGTTTCGCAACAAGCTTTTGGAGCCTTTCGTCATGCCGGTTCGCAAATTATCGATCCGTAAGCCGTTCTCATCCTCCAGTAGCATCTGCGCGGGCGTGTAAAAGAAGTCCTTCACACCGGTGCCCAACGTGCTTACAAGACCGATAGGATTTCCCAAAAAGTCAACGGAACCCATGATGCTGTACCAACTGCGCAAACCATGGTGCAGGTAATGCTGCATCGCATAGAATGCCAGAGTGTGTGTTGTCTCTAGCAAATTCTCCACATAAAACTCCGGTATTCGGATGGGGGCCTGGTCCAGGTTTGAAACAAGAGCTGCTGCTGCACTAATGAGCGTGCTCAGAGCAGACGACATGTCCGGTGACAGCTTTAAGTAAACAAGGATAGAAAGTTAGCACCACAGTAAGCACGGTAACTACGCAATCTGAATCGACTAAGGTACCAGTGACAGCAGGAGTGATCGATCTGCGGTACTCGTAAATGTTACGTTAACCTTTACAGGACACAGCAAAAGCCATCGCAAAAGCACCTTCATGTTCGCTCCTCCACCGCTCGTTGTACTGTCCAAGCGCCCACCAGCAGCAGCGGAGAGCAACGAGGGTGTCGACCATTCGATCTCCAGGAGCTTGAGTGCCAAGTTCGAGCCAAACCCATCGCTAGAGCGCTTATCTTGCTTACTCATGCGCGAGTTTGAAGCTGGGTGTGACCATTTGACTCCAGAGAAAACACGGGCCAACGAGACGAGCGTCGCGTCTTCAAGTTTGATTTCTAGCTCTTGGAGCTGACCGAAAATGTAATCAAACTGAACCACGTTCGGCTGATGGCTGAAGACTGTCATAAGCTGTACTGTTGGCAACAGCATCGGGATCTCCACCTGTCCAGTTTCAGCATTTTCTTTTCCTCCTTCGCCACGCGCCATTGTGTAGCCTTCTTCTTGCGTTTGCGCATCTAGCAGACGAATTGGACGCAGTAGAACAGGGTAGTTCGTGTCTAGAAGCTGATTATCGATCTGAAAATGCCCAATACGGGCATTTAACACTTTTTTGCCGTCAGATATTTGGCCGTAGCTCAACTGGACGCCTGCGGACGCGTTCTGGTCGGATAGAGAAACGCAGAGTACCTCTCGTGGCTGTTGTGGACCTGTCGCTGAAGCCATCGAACTCCATGCACCATCATCGGCAACCGAAATACAAATACGCGCTACTTCTAGCTGGAAATGAAGACTTAGATCTCTCTGTTGATGAGCTGCCCGGAGCGGGTTTATGAAATCCCACTTTAAGGCGAGTCGCAGTTGACCAATCATTTCAAGTGCCGAGTGTTGGCGCGAACGCTGCTGTGGCGAGTACAATGCACATATCCGTTCGTTAAATGTAAGCGCGGATGGTTCAGCCATGGGATTTCCATGCATCGACATCAAATTTCCTGCATTAGGGAGAGAAGATGGCGGTAAAGGTACCCAGCACTCCGCCAAAAGCACGTCAAAGCGCGAATCTTGCTTGCTATGATCGAGGTGATCCATCATAGCGTCATCACCAAAGAAGAACAGAAATGGCACAATGCTGGATTCCTGTGAGGCTGACAGACCATGATCTGATGTTTCGTTCCGCAAGTACACGCGCACAAGCACTTGCTCATCGCCAGATTCCGCAGCAGACTTCGTATTTGGTGTTTCAACAAATTCCACCCGTCGATTCCACTCCGCGTCATACCTCCGGACACCAGCTTCTTCGCACAGTGACTGCGCACACGGAGGTCTCGTGTATGACGCAGTCATGGTAGGCTGATACAGAAATGATAATGTAAATGTCGACCGTGACGCTTGACTTGGAATCTGGCTTCCGATACCTTCTCCCCAATGCATGGCCTTCTCAATCACTGCAAATGATGCGTTGCGATGAAGGTTTACGATGGATTTCTTGTTGACTGCGACCACGGTATCACCAATGCGGATTTTACCTTCGTAAACGAGAGCTCCACAAGGCCCATCACAAACTACACCTTGAACCAGTACACGTCCGTTTCGATAGACAAGATCAAGTCCTAGTACTTGGCCCTGCAGGAACTCATGTGTGCGAACTTGTTGCAGATGCGCATGATTGCTTGGCGATCCTGCCATTGACGTCCCCCCAGACGATGTGGATTTGCTGTCATCAGACTTGTCCTGCTCCATCGATGATGTTACGCTCGAAGACTTGGCAATCGCTGACAACGCTGAGCGCGTTGACTTCTGGTAAGTGATCGTACAATACACCTTCGGCTCCAAATGCTCGACTTTTCGATGCGTGTGCTTGAAGTTATCGCGAATAACCTCTGTGGGAATTTGCAGATTCGACACGCCAATTAGAACGGCCGTCAACCGCTTTTCGTCAACCATCTCGTCATACGTGCCGTCGCTAATGGATCCATCCGTAGTCACCGAGGCAGCCGACCCTCGAATCGAGTTAGCATTTTGACCACAAGGATCGGCAGAATTATCGTCCCCACCAGCAACTAAGTGCGAAAGAGTAAAATTATTTTTCTCTTCTTGTGTTGAGCAGTCCAGCGCCGGACGCAACGCTGCTGGGATATTACTACCACTGGTTGACGTATCAACTGCTTCGTGCTCCAGCAACATTTTTAGCTGCGACTTAGAGCTCAACAGCAAGTCCAGCTCTTTCTTCAGCTGATATGCAGACAGTATATCTGTTACCTCCTTTACCGCGTCATGATCATTTACTCCCTTTCCATTAAGCTCAGCAATGGCACTTCGAGTCGTGGACGTTCGTCGACAACACATTTGGAAACGGATTCGCGTTTCGTTTCCTAAAGGATGAAGCCAACCTCCACCTGTCTGAGTCAAACGCACAGGAGCAAGAAACTCTACCACTGGCGCCTCGTAATTTGCATCATTTCTGCAAGAGATTATAGCAGCAGCACAGTATTCCTGCAACGGAATACGTGTAGCTGCAACGATCGACGAGCCGAAGAGAACTTTATCAGCTTCCCGTATCTCCACAATAATCTCTGCACCAGTACCGAACTCGTAGTTTAATCTCGTCTCGTTTTTCTCGTCACCACTATCGTTGCATAGCACCAAAGCGCTTAAAGTCGCCTTTGAGTGAAGTGCAGGCAGCCAGCGCGGAAATACTGTTGAGGACTGGGGAGTAAGCTTCGTCCGAACTTCTCCCTCTGCAGTCTTTAATGAGAATGTAATGAACGGCTGACACGATGTCAGATCGCTCCGTCCAGCTTGAAGAAACACTTCTTCGAGATGCCCAGCGTCTACAAGCCGAGCACAGAGTGCCAGTGCTTCCACCTCTTTCTCTCCTTCGGTTGATGACGGGATACTGTCAGCTTTATAGGCTAGTTTTGTTGCCCTCAGGGTTCCATCCTCTTCTACGCTGAGCTTGGTCTTCACTTTTGCAATGTCTGTCAAAAAACGCACACACTTCTTCGGTGCAGGCGCTTCTTGAATCAGGTCATTGTCCAATCCATTCGCAAGATGAGCTGCATGCGCCGAGAGCATATGCGAAATATAGACGATTGATGTATTGTAGCGCTTCCAACTTCGAAGGAGTGTTGCCCGTCGTCGCCTCTTGTGCTCGCCGGAGAAACCCGGCAGCATATCAGTCACCAGCAAAGTTTTCGTCGTTTCATCCAGCAACACTTCGGCCCATAGTCGCTTCTTTGTTGAGCCCTCAGACACATCGATTGTCGGAAGACACTGGAGCTTTTTCAGCTGTACCTCAAAACTTGTGACTACGTGGGCTTGGTCCAACATTGCTGCTCGGGAAATTGCACTTACTGGTGAGTCGTCCTTCTTTCTCTCTGTTCCTGAGGACTTTGGGTCCATCCGATCACCGTGGTGACCACGTAATGCGTGTTTTTTGCGCAATGCATTAACACCCAGCCCAGCCACTTTCTGTACCTGTATAAACACCGTCGGGAATGCGGAGAAGCGGAATGGCACATAGTCGATCGAATGAAACGGAAGCACGGACTCTCCACCCTCAAAGCCGATTGTTACATTTCCCTTGCCATCTTTCAGGCGAGTTTTTTGCCACACGATCAGCGCTAAGTTGCTGCACTCATTCTTGATCTTAAACGGCACGAATGCTTCGTCTTCTTTCTTCTGCTTTTTGTTCGGCGCATGCTTTCGATAGTTCGCTTCGCATTCAGACAATGGTGATGGTGAGACGTGAACCGACGGGCTGCTCTCCTCCAAATACACCAAAAAGGAAGGATCATGAAGCTCAACAGCCACATTCAACTGAATTCCATCGGTGAGCATCCGCTTAGCGTCATTGCGCTCATCATCTTCTTCTTCCATGTCTTCAACTTCTTCAACCTGCTTCTGATTTGAAGCTCCTCCTTCGAAACAGCCAGGAAGACACGGTGGTGCTGGTCTGACCTTCGATTTTACGCGAAGCACAAAATTACCCACTGCCGAAAGCTCGAATGGCGCGGTCCATTGCGACGAGTTCACAAACGAGGCTATGTTACGAGCGTCGTGGCGCTTATCAGGTCGCACAAAACAAACCTGAACCCGGAATGGCAATCGTGAATCGCTCCAGTGGAAGATCTTGCTGTCATTTGGACGAAGCATGATCACTGAACTAGGGTCTGTTGAGCGCTCCTGACGGACGTGAATTTCAAACCTGCTTGACGTGTTAATGAAATAGTATCGTGGAACCAATGTTACAACACGCGATCGCAAAAACTTCTCTGGGCCTTGCTCGATCATCACACCAAATTCATACTGGGTAAAAGTTGATTTCAGGTTACCTGGTGGTGCTCCAAACTCGGTGATGGTAGACAGCAAAAACCGAGCATCACGGGACCGATTGGTGGGTACAAGAATTTGTCCACGCACTCCCACAGCGCTGATGTCAAATGGATCAGATTGCACTTCACGCTCGCCTTCATTCCCCTTAATACCAATCTTCATCTTTGATACACTTTGCTTGCTCTCACACGAGAACACCGACAGTGACACGGGGGAAGAGTTGTCATCATCGATCCCGTTGCCCTCGTACAGCCGACCCGGATGATTGGATGGAATGAGGTAATCATCTGCAGTGTAAAATGCAAGCGACAGTGACGTCCGATCGATCAGCCAGTACTCCGTGAACACTCGGCACACGACTGGGCAGAGCGTATTTAGAGATCGCGACCGCAGTTTTTCCAACTGTGTAATCTCAACGCAGATTGTGAGTTTGTTTGCAATCGTAGTAGCTTCTGCGTCGCTGTCATCGCGCATATTCAACTCGATCCGCTCACAAAATGATCGACAACCATAAATGAACGCATCGCTGGACCACCTTGAGAATCTCCGCAGCTCGATTTGTGGAAGTGCAAGGCTCAATCCGACCACTGTCGGTGTTTGCACGACCACTCCGTTCTCCAGATCTCGCTCCAATATATCCAATCCCGCAAGACAAGCACTGCTTCCAGACGGCACCTTTCCGTTTGCACCGGAAAAAGAGGCCGCGTTTTTTGCTACCCACACGACTTCAGCTTCTGATTTCATGCACACAGTGCGATAGGAGAGTTCATAAGGCACAAGATTCTCCAAAACAATTGGTGGCCGTAGCGTTATTGTTGTCTCGTGACGTTCCGACTTTCGCAGTGCAGTAAGAATCACTTGGAACGGTGGCAACGACACACCAAATGTAGCGTCTGCACCATCCTCGACTCCAACGCTAGGATGAACATCCCAGTAAAACGTCAACGCCTTGCGTAGCTCGAGAGACCCAACATTCTGACGGCGCTTTGAGCGACCACAATATTTGAAGTCATTTGAACGCAATAGCGATGCGATTGAAAGGGCATCTGAGCGTTGAACCTCTCCATTAGACAGCAGTGGACGAAATGCAATGCTCCCCGAATCAAGATACTGAATGGGAATGTAGTGAGCTGTCATGCCACCAGGCTCAATTGTCTCCTCCCGTTGATCGTTGTAGATGATTTGAATCGGTACATCGTAGAAATTCATCAGCTGTACCTTCCCTCGAAGCCGCAGTACGAGCGTGCCCTGTTCTGCGACTGTCTCGCAAATTATGCTCTCTCCATGCCATGAATCGTGTTGCTTGCCGCTGCTCTCCAGATGAAGATAGCTTCGATTTGAATACCCAATGGGCACAGGGATTGCTTTCGAAGAATTTATTCCTTGTGAGTGAGATTGCGGCTTTAGCCACAACAAGCGACGTAGCGGCGACGTTACACATCCTGCTGGTGCTTCATGTGCTACAATTTCAGTAGCGATTCGTTCCCCGCTTTCGACTCGGATCCACCTTGTATCTGCAGAAGAAATGTCGCTTAGCATAGTCGATAGTCGACGACGACTCCAAGCGAGGCTGTTAAACATTGCTGTCCCTGCCTTTACGATTTCATCGTTGGTGTCAGCACCTGGAACATCAGTAGGCATTTCAATTGATCCAGTCGGCCTTCGGGACGAAGATGGCGTCCCCCCGGCTGTGCTTGCTGCACCAACAGATGACGAAGGATGCGTTGCCACAACAAATGGAATGCCTGACTGATTATCGACATATATGAACGGACCAAGCCGAGATGATAAGGCCTCGTCAGCTGCGGTCACTTCAGTCACCAATGCAAAGAAGTGCACTAGTACGTTAATCACGTTTCGCGAAACATTAATATTGAAGTCGTCTTTCGCCACGATCATGAAGGTATTTGCCAACTTGGCACCATCTTGAACATCAGGCTGTTCCAGTAGCTCGCGATAGATGTAGTTCTTCGATTCCCATGAATGCGCGGCCGCATCAGTGAACACTTCAGTTCGGGAAGATCGAAAAAGGCATAGCGGCATGCCATCGCAGCGCAGAGCAGCGCCTGTGGGAGACACTGATTGCCGCTCTGACATGCAATAGTCGCACAATAAACCACCCATTCCATGATATGCCATATTCATCTCGAAATCTTCGAGTACAGGCTCCCAAACAGCCAGTTGAGAGTTGTATGCTTGAATCCCAAAACGCAGGCTTGTCAATGCTGTAAATTTATATTCTATCCTTCCCCTGATGTCTGCATTTAGCGCTGCCACACGGAAATGAAGCAGCGGCAGAAGCATGTTGTGAAAGTCATTTACAATTGTCGCGTTCACACCTGGAAGTGTAAACTCCAAAATCTTCAAATTGTCGAGGAATGAGGCGTACGCGAAAAGAGACTTGCGCTTTTTATTCCCAGACCTTGCTGAGGCCGAAGGGGTCTCCGGGGGATGCGTAGTGACTGAAGCGTCAGCCGACGAATTTAGGGCGTCACCGACTGTATCAACATTATCCGCATCAGTCGGACTCTGCTCCTCGCGCTGTGGGCATCCAGCTCTAGATGTGCCTGATACAATCGATAACGCAAACGGAATCGGTGCATCGCCGACACCATTAAACATCAAGTAACCACCGCCCCGCGCGCTTGTTGCGTCTACCGTGTGCGCGCCCTCAGCTTGGTGCCCCGACCGAGATAAGTTGAAGTCCATTTGCTGACCAGCATCGTTTGCTGCGTCAAACGTTTTGCCTTTGCTGAACGAGCGATATATCGTGACCTCCTCAAACACGATGAGTTCTCGATCATAAATTACGCTCTTGTCTGAGTTAAACATAGTACTTCCATGCTTCCATATCGTGGTCTCGAACACTCCAGCTGACCCTTCTGGGCCGAGGTAACCATTGGCACCAAGTTGATCGTACTTCTGAATTAATGTGGAATGCGGTAGCTTCACTGTCTCTTTGCCGGCGGTGGGTGATGCATCAGATGCTTCCTCTTTCGAAAGCAAGGTAACTTTTGAAGACTTCTCCTCGGTCTTTTCCTGGTTTGTGGTCACCACAGCTTCCAATATTATTCTGTCACCGTAGTATACTTCGTCGCCAATTTGCCGGCGACTTTCAGATGCTGGCAATATCCGGAACGCCACACTTTGAACCAGTTGACGCTGCTGTGCTGTGTACGGCAAGACAAGGTACCGTTTGCGCCATGTCGAGTTATAGAATCCAACAACTGGTCGCGTCTCCAGGCGTCCGCGGAAACTTGCTGATACCAAATAGATTAAAGAAGTCCCGTAGAGAGCAGCGGTGCACTGCCGTTCACATCGCTTTAACATAAAGAGCGCGAGGCTTGAACGCGGGGACGACGGGCATTGCTGACGTCCACCGCAAGACGCAGATTCGCTATCCGCACCCCCACCTGAAAGAGAGGAAATCGATGAGCCGGACATCGACCGCCGGTTCTGGCCCCGAGGAGCACTTGACTGACTGGTCGTTAATGGCCTGCGTAAAACGTGTTCGAAAGCTGCAAGCATCGTGCAAAAATCCAAATAGCCAAAGCGGAGTTCCATCACGCGGTCGAACGTGGTTTGGAAGCGGACAAAGTGAGAGCGAAGATCGACTTGGAATACACTCTCCATGCCAATAGGCTTCAAGCAATCAGCAGACGCTGCTGTTGCAGCTTGCTCAGCTGCCCATATGCTTTCCTCGGACAATCGCGAAGTTGCGTATATGTTTTCCAGATCAACACAAATTTGCAACTGGTTTCGACTGTGCGCAGGATACTCTTCGCCGATGCCTTCGACGTCCGGGCATTCGTCTTCATTTGTTTGTCGAAGATAGTTTAGAATCAATGACGACTCCCATGACAGCACCATTGCTCGAGATTTGAGTTTGTAAGGATCTTCTACTAACAGAAATGCGGACGGGCCCAAGTTCAGCTCCAAGCCAATCCGCCGATATGTTGGCGGCACCACCGTTGATTCTTCTGAGTTAGCATTCCCTGTCTCCTCATTACCTCGACTACTCACAGAGTCAACGTCTTCTGTACTCCAACTCGGGGGCGTTGTTAAAAACTCGATCAATTCATAGTGGATGTTGGATGGTATGACCTTGAACCCAGCCACATCAATCACCAGTTCCATTCTTTCCTCCACTCCTACCAGTGAAGAGAAAGGCGTCTTCTCTCTAGGGTTGTCACAATGCACGCCGCGGTTTGCCACTGTCGGTGACTTCAGCGAGTAGGCAGAAATTTCAGACTCAGTTCGTCTTAGGGAGATCTCCGACCCGAACAATCCTACGGAAGCTCTAGACGAGGTGCGCCGAAACCTCGTTCCGGAAGCTCGCAATTTGTGTCGATGCGGATCGAAACGTATTGTCGATACACCCACGTCAAAATTTTCGCGCACCAGCTGGAGCTTGACTGCTTTCGGCAGTCCATCCCTGCACCGCTCGAACACAATAACATCACGGTACGAGGCTGACATTTTCGAATGTACTCGTGAGTCTCGAATGTGAACACCCTCCAAATCAACATCTGCCGTCAGCCTTTGATTGACTAAATCGTAATTGGCGCGTGCTGATAATACAGATAGAGCTAACAGGCAGATCGAGGCGTCATTCGCCTTGCTCTTCTTGGCCATGTCAAGGTCACCACTGCTTGAGGGGTGATACCCGTGTTGCCCTTGCAAGATTTCCATCGTAATTTCTGGAACATGGAGATCAAAGATGATGTGGTGTTCTTCTGTAGCTTCTGGAACCTCGGACGCGCTCGTCCCGTCACTAGCTTCGTCACCGTCCTCTATAAACCTCCCGGAAGACGAAAACCCGTCGACACTATGGCGTAAGAAGAGTCGGCGAGAAGAAGCGCGCGCTACAACTCTCGCTGGTACTTCAGCCCCTGGACGAAAGTTATACCGGGTGCGTTCACGATAGTTCTGGAATGGTACTCTCAATACGAAGGCGTACTGGTCTTGATTGCAAACCAAGCGAACAGGGCTGCAAATTATGCTCACCTTCATATCAACATGTGAGCGGAAATCTACGGACAGTGAATAGTTCGTAAGTCCTAACAAACTTTGCGTAATAAGCCCGCCACTTTCTAGACGCTTATCCGCATCATTGTGGTCCATAAGAATAACCGAAACAATCCGAAGAGCTTTCATGTCAAGTTGCAGCTGCTTTAGTGACGAGTTCAAAAGCACTTTTGCCACGACACGATTTTCCATACCAAGGAAACTATCAACGATGTTTCTGTTAGATGCACGGAAAGTGTCAAAGCGTAATAACAGCGATTCCGATGACATACGATGAGGGGGCATTTCCAATACAGCATCTTCCAGGTAAATATCAATGAGCGGGAACATCGACACAACATCAGGGCTCGAGATCGTACTCGACGATGCTTCAACTTTAGCGTCTTCCTCCTCTTCATTGCCCTTCTGGGAGGCAGGGCTTCCTTGAATACCGGCAAGCTGAAAATCGCCCTCCCAAAGCGTATCAGTCTGCTCACGTGACAAGATAGATAATATTGTCGCCAGCAAAACGCCCTTCATCCAGTAGTTGCACATATCATCAACAAAACTGTAGAGAAAGCGGATCCGCGGTGACTTGAGACGCACAGTATACCGGCTACTGTAGCCTGGATGCCACACTTCTTGAATAGTGTCCACGCCGTAAAACTGCACCGCGCACGAAAACACTGCAGGGACGCGATCAAGCAAGTTCAGAATCTCGCATTGTGTTGGAATATGACCCAATGCGATGTCGTCATCGTATTCACACGCAGCATCGCGATCATTCCACAGTTTATCTTCGTCCGGTTTAGTGGATGTGTCTCCGTGAGATACGATCTCACTGAGATGCTGATCCAATAGCGATACATCATGGATTTTCAATGAGGTCAAGTAGGCAAACACGCTCAAGTGAAGTGGAAACCGCTGTACACAGCAGCAGAATTGCTGTGCGGTCAAACTAGCAAACGCTGACGACATCCCTTCCAGTCTTTGCTTGTCGTCTAAATGGAGAAACAACGACAAACCTTCCACATTAAGGCGAGACTGCATCGCGGCTGGCTGGTTTTCCTCTGCGATACCACATTGCTTGTTTGCCGCTGTTTGTTGCTCGTCTTCCCTCTTAGGGCTGGCACCAAGGTGGTTGTCTAAGAATGAAGATGTCACCCACACGCCTAACTTCCTTGAAAATGTATTTTCATTTGCCTGCGCATCCACCGGCGACAGGGCAGATTGGTCATCTATGTTGGTAGCCAAATCGTTTCTGCCGGTTGTGCTTCCCTCACCGATGCTTCGCAATGATAGAAGAGGTGGTCGTAGAGCCTGCATTTTTACGTCTGCATCTTCCTTACTTTGTCGAAAAAAGAATACGAAGACATCTGCGAGAGTGTCTTGGTAGACATCAATCGTTAATACTCGCAAGCTAGCATCAACCGATAGGGCGGTGATAAGCGGATCCTGCCAAACGGAATTCTTGCCAGAAGACGACGAAAGAGGCGCATGCCGGACACTTTTCCACAGCTGTTTGTCCTTCAACATCACAGCATCAGACGCAATACCCGTAATCGCCACATGAATCAGTTGTTCCGACGAAGTTGGAGGTTTAATAGGTTCCTCTTTTGACTTCTGTTCCGCGTCAATCACCACTTCGTGATTTCCTGATTTCATGAGAAACCGCTTTTTTTCCACCACTTTTGATGACGATGACGACCTCAAGAGAAGAATGTCCTCCACCAAAAGTGTACCAAGCGCAAAGTCTAACCTTCTATCGTAGGACCGTATTTGCAATCGCGTGCTAATATCAACTGCACGCACACATACAGTTTTTCCTGAGCCGTTGCCTGGCTCTCGAACTTGCAGCGTGAGAATTATCTCTCCGATTCCAAATTGAAGCTGACAAATCACGCGTTCCCACAGCTTAAGTAAATCGTTGTCGTCGATTTCCTTTTCTCGAAATGTTTTTTGGCGCTCGAGTTGAATCTTTTTTGATAAATGTGTGTATGGACTATTGCCAGACGCTGTAGTATGCCTTCCACCTGGATCGCTACTGGATAAAGCGATATCCCCGAGATTCATATACGAGGAAGCTTTTCGTACGATTTTCTGCTTGCGGCATCGTGATACAGCAGTCGCTAGATACCGCGCGGGGTGGTCGATTTTGTGGGCGGCTGCGGCCATATCTTTGCGCATGCGGCGTGTAGCATGAAGTGACAAGTTCTCGCCAAATGAATGCATCAGCTGTACCAACGAGCGGAAACTTCTCGCGGACAAGTTCAAGTTGACGTGGTCAACTCCGCCAGATAGCTTCAGAAGAGGAATGCTCGGGTCGTCTGGTGTGACGCTCATGTAAAAGTTAAATGTCAGAGATGTCTTTTCCAGCAAGTAATGCCATGAAGACTTCTTGCAGGAGTGGATCCGCGATAGAAAAACCCGATTACCACCACTGATGTTTTCACCATCGATAATCTGTACTTCAATACCAGAAATATTGATCTCGAGAACGTCATATAGACATTCCTCCGACGGGGCCAGAACAACCATCTGGCTCGCGGTTGTTCCCATCGTGCAGTCACCCAACTCTTCCGTCATTTTGCTTTCGTCCATAACGTCGCTCGGGTGTTTCGTTTGTGCCTTTAGATGACCAAGAAATACCAACAGACTCACCTCGTCACCTTTGAAGACTCTCGTCTCCGGCATTGTTGCCTGAATAAAGTTAATTAGAGGAGAAATCACGTCTAAGCGCACTTCGACCATCGTTCTTCGGGCCAGCGCATCTCGCAGCTGAGCAGCACTGGAACGTTGCAAACTTTGCGCTTTTTTCCAAGCACTGTGCTCAAGTCCGGATAAATCCACGTTCACTGGGCGAGAAAAAACAGCCATCACATTCAGGAGAAACATCAAGTTGACGTTGCATCGAATTGGTTGTGTCACCAAAGACACCCTAAACAGATTAGCCGCCAGTGCGACATCCCTTGTAGCCAGCGCAACATCCCCGTTGGCATTCATTGAGTCCGAAGCCATTCCGATTTTACGCTGGCGAGCACATTCAATGCTGAGCTGCACCAGAGGCAGCTCTTTCTCACAATAGCGAAGCCGCACGCTGCTCATTTGATTACGAACTCCAACAGGATGGTATTCCACGACCTCGTCGATGTCCATACGCTGAAGAAAAAAGCGGGTTCCAGACGAACTCACAGACCGCTTTTCTAATGACGATTCGTCGTGCACCGACAGCCTAGAACCCTGACTAAAGAAAGCATCACGTAGTTGAAGGCCCAATTCTACGCTTGACGGCCGTACCAAGAATTGGATCTCTACGTCATCTAACGAAGCGTTCAAGCACGATGATGACGACAGCTCCACATTGCTATATTCCCTGCGATCACGTAAATCGGTGTGAACATCTTCAAGACTGAGCTCGAAGCTGGCCCGACATAGGGTGAGTTGGAAGCGATATAAGATGTGCTGGTGGTTTTGTAGCAACTGTTTCTCTCGTTCAGCCGCATCTTTGACCTCATCGTTGTCAAGTTCTTCGATCACCTTTTCTCTCTTCGGATGAAAATCAATCGCTTTATAAAGATCGTTAGCGTCTTGGTCACTCCATTTCACATCCTCCACCCGGACTTCTCCAGCACCATGGTCTGTAGACCCATATGCTGATCCACTAGCACCTGTAAGCCATGCGGCGTACGACCAGAGGCGCGCGCCAGTGGAGGGTTCGGGACCCAGAGGGGGACGTCCACCACTCCTGTAGTCACTTCCTCCATTGCTTCGCAGAGCTTGCTGCTCCTTCTCTGTGTCGGCAATTTCCTTACGCACGGCCCGACGAAGCTTGATCAGTTCTTGAACATCCATGACATACTCCAGGTCCTCCAGCTCGCTGCACGCTATTTCTTTGGACAGCAAGCGCATGTCCGACGGAACGAGTGTGGCCGCAAACGTCGTACTGTGTTCCACTAGTATACACAATTTCTTGTACCGGTCTTTTTGCCGTTGCTTCGTTTCGAGTGCTCCCCAATCCACGTGGGCCAAACGCTCCCGGACATCCAACAACACAGCATTGATTGCATATCTCCACCAAGCCCTCGGGTCGTTCCTCACACGAATTCTTTTTGGACGCAGTACGAGGTATCGGGCCTGACGACGCATTGCCGTGAAAAACGAAATGAAGGAAAGCGCGCTCAGGTACTGCTGGCGGTGTAGTGAAGTACCGATCTGATCGATACTAGCTTGTGCATCAATGTACGTACTTTTCTCTTCCATCACGTGAACAACCGCCTCCCGGTATCTGATGATACACTGCTCAACGCGATCCACCTCTTCCAAAGACCACTGCATGCAGCTTGACAAAGCTCTCTTAAACTGCAACACTGACGGAATCTCGTCCTCTTCTTCTGTAAGATCTCTTGCCACTGACCACGCCTCCGAAAACACAAACCCCAACGTATACTTGCGTTCCCCTGCCAACTTTGGCATGATCTTTAGAAAATCGTTCCATGCGTCATCGCCAATGGCGTCAATGGTTTCCACCATCCATGACGTCCCAAGTCTCGACAGTACGCGCTCACTCAGCTCTTGATGCGTAATGGACAACTTTGCATTACCGTCATTTATTGTCAGCTTCATTGAAACCGTCAGCGGGTGCACAATGTAGTCACTTGGTTTAAACAGCATCAGCATTGTCGCATCCTGTGCTCTCGCCGATTCAGTCAGAGGTGACGGCACTGGCTGCACCACTTGCGGCTGGGTTTGCTTCTTTGCAGGCTTGAAGCTGCTCCTCATCAACGCAGCAAACGCCTCAGCATCGTTCAATGCTGTCTCAGGCACTGGCACCAGTGGCAGGGACCAGTAGATGCCAAACTTGTTGACATCCATCTTCTTTCTAATGAACGACATGCCGTGCGGTGGGGACGTGCCTCTGCCTACCATCGTGTAGTTCCAGCCCTCGTCCGCTGACTTGATAATGATGGCGTCCAGTGTCATGCCCACAGCGTAGGGGCATCCAGGGTCCGACACTGCATCTTCCATCCTCAAATGCAGATGCTGCACATGCACCTGCACGTTGTCAAGTGCCTTGACCAGCAGCTTACACAGAAAGCTCTGCGTCCAGCTCTGTCCCACATCAGTCTGTGCATTGTTTTGCTCGTTGAACTCTGTTGCCTTCTCTACAGCGTCAATAGCCGCACGTTTGCGCTTTAAGTCCTGCTGCTTCTTCTTCGCCGCACGTCGCTGCTCTTCTGGCGTCGGTGCCACAGCGTCAGACGCCGCGCGGTCGTCCGTGCAAACCTCAAGCAGTAGACTCACGTCCTCGATATCCACTCGAATGGGTTGACCCGCCAAGTTCGTCCACGGGAGGTCGATACGGAGCTGCCGAAGAGTCCCTTTGACTAGTCGCATCTGCTTTGGCAGTGGAAACGCGTCCGGCTGGAGCTCCACGGTCTTGACCTCGATCTTGCCGTTCCATACGCTTATCTGGAGAGCTTTTGGGTCAATGTTCTTGACGTAGCTGCCTAGCACAGCGTCTAGGACCACGTGCACGTAGCGCTGGAGGAACATGGCGGAGTCGTCGCCCCCGTTTGCGTCCGAAAGATTGATGATGATGCACTTCAACAGATCGGTTGGACGTTAAAACATCGAGTTGTTTCGCAGGGTTTTATGTTGTGCTTTTCGTTTTAACAGTAGTTGGACGGTGGGATAAGTACGACGATTATCCGATGAGACTCTTCACTCAGGGCAATGATTTTTTATCAAGTTGTTGCGAAGACTTGACGAAACGCGATGCTTGATACTACAACGAGTAGCTAGCTGGCTGTGATACGAGGATTTGTACCGCAATGATTGCAGGAAATGGATATTGAAACACACCAGATTAGTTTTCTACAAATTGTCGGAAGGCCTGATTGTACTCGATTTCGTGTAAATTGGTCAAGGCGTCTGAGCGATTAAGTGCAGACTTAGGCGCTTGTGCGTTTTACTAGTAAGACTTCGGCTGCTGAAATCAATACTGTTGTCATCGATACTACTACTACTGCTACTACTACTACTACTGCTACTATTATACTATTACTACTACTACTACTACTGCTACTAATGCTACCTTTTACATTATTACTGATAACAGAGCTTCAATTAGTACTACTGTTACTACCCCGTTTTACTTCTACTACTTCTAGGTAAGTTACAACTAGTATAATTTCACATTGAGTATAAGATAGGAGAGCAAGATCTGGAGCTCGCCTTCTGATAAAAATAATCCAGTCCGGAGAACTGAACCAAGTTGCGAAACGATATACTACTACAGCAGCAGACACTGAAGAATGAATACGATGCTGTTTCTGTATGTATTAACACAGTACGGTATATTTGGGCAACGCGATATGCCTTTGCTCATGAGCGTCCAGCATTTGCTTTAACCAATTTTAAGCCAATCACTTTCGTGCTCCAGAACAGTGACCTAGCCAAAGAGTGATTTCGGGTATACCTACACCTATGGGGGACAGGCTAGATCGCACTTAGAACGTGTAAGGTACACCTAACCGCGTTATTTACAGACTCACAGACACACACACAGATAAACACGGTTTGAATGTTCGACATTCAACCTTTCACACAGTCACTAACAGCTTCACCCTTTCGATTCGCAATCAGAAAATTGTTCGATCCACTATTTCTTCTCTCGTTAGCTTGAAAATCCCTTTCCTTTTGTTCAGTAGACACTCAAAACAGCCAATTATAATCTGTTACATACATGTGAAACTTTTCTGTTTATAATACACTATATGACGTGGCACCATTTCTCTGGAACTAAAAGTAGCGGTACGGTAGCATATTCACCTTGATATTGTACGTGGCGCGATGTCCACCCAAATGCTCGTCTCCTTAAGATCGTACGTGGGGCGATATTCGCCCAAATACTTATCCTCCTCTCTTCATCTAGTGTATGTGGCAAAGCGGTCACAAGGAAATTTACGGTTTAGTTAGAGTGGGGGACTGGGCGGATCGCACACCTCAGCTAGGTCCTAAGCGTTATAATCGATGGACACAGACTGGGACGGGTGGCTGGCAATAGCACACCTAACCCCAGTAAAGCAGGATCGACATCGCTTGGGACAAGGTAAGATGACCGTTGGACCAGTTGGATTGCGTAATCCATCGTTGACAAGGCAAAGGAAATTTCGTGATCCCTCACCTAGGGATCACGATCCGGACCTGGGATCACGATTAGGACCTATCATGATCCGAGGTCTGATGGTGGTGATATCTAGGGCAGACCACACAGATGATTCGACTGCTGATACACCTGGTGTGGGCCACGCCAATTTGAGAGGACGATCTTCCTAAAACGGTGATGCTTGGCATCCGGTTAGGATATCCAGATAAGGCACAGGAGTAGGTTTTAGGTTGATTGGCTAGCTTTAGAGAGAATTCAATTTACTTCAAAAGACGCACGCAATCTCTTCCGGGCAGGATCTTTGGCCTCCCGACGAATAAAGAGTCGCGTTACCCGTCCATTGGCCAGGTGCGCTCAATAATTCTCAGGTAACTACAACTGCGATCGGACACAGCAAGACACGTACATGCAAGGCACAAGATCGCGAGACATCTCGAGTGGTCAGAAGGCTCGCGTACCAAGGACCCAAACCGAATCTGAGTACCCCCTCCGTTAGTCGGTCGTCTGGGCGCCAGTGGAGAGTCGGGATCGTCTCAAAAATTGAGCGATCACCACTCCACCACATGTAATGCACGTAGCCTGTACCGTGTATTATAACAAAACCGTCGTCCACTGTGAAACATGTCAAGCCACGTCAAGAAATGGCGCGGCTACAAATTGTTGTGCGGGAGCAACCGCCACAACCACCGTCTATTTCTGTGAATAACAACTCCAGGACAATGTTTGAAAGATTATTTACGATGGATTTTCACGCGATAGTCGTTTGGACGTAAACGAGATTTTTAACAGGTTTGTCGACCAACTCCTTCGAAATACTGACAAAGCAGATAAATTGGCAAGTTTAGTCTTGCGCGATGTTCATCAGAATCGATGTCCTCTCCTCTGCGTCCTGGAAATTCTATTTTGACGCTACTAAATATAAAGAATCGAATGTAACATGGTTTTGTAATATGTATGGTCATCATTAATTTCCTTGGCTCTTTCTTCATTTACTTCTTCTTAATCGTCTCTACTTTTGTTTCGATTGGTTCTTAATTGCTTGCACGGTCAATGCCATTCAAGACTGTCCATGACCTTTTTGAACTTTTGGTACCTGTTCGTGTAGTTGGAAGTAATTTTGCTAATTGTGGCCCAAAGTCTGTTGTGTGAAGAAAGTGGAGAACCAAGACGTGATCATGTGACATTTGGCGTTTCCGTACTACGTACTCGTAAAGATTGTCTAAACATTTACTCTAGTGACTCCAGCCGCCCCCCCCGCCAACTAAACCTAATAAGCACGCCGTAGACCGATCCCTTATCCACCGGGAGCTGCCATATAGTCGTGGAACGGGTAGTGTAACGGGTGCCTCCGTTACATGATAATTTACATAAGGTAATATCAAGCATGAATATTACGTTAGGACAAACACAATATTTTTGCAATATTATCCTAGTAAAAAGTATTGCTTTGCAGATGTAACACGCTGCTCATTGGTTGATATAGGACCAAGATGTCAACCGATAAAGTCAATCACGACAAAAGCATGCGATGAGCGATGCGCAGATAGTTACAACACATGTTTGCATCAAGACATAGTTCAAAGAAATCAGATAGGGATTTATTGAAACGTTTAAACACACTAAATACAGCTCTACTTTTTACCATTACTAAGTACTCTTACTCCGTATAGCAATTTTCTTCTGCACGTACGTGTACGTGACGTAGTCGTACGCACACACCCTTGTATGTCAGCAGTGCAAGGTTTATGCAATTGGCCAAAAAAGGTGTGACCCGTAGCGCTTGCGGGGTGAAATTAGGTAGTAGTCACAAAGTATTTGACTAATAAAAAAGACGATACAAATATTTACAAAACCTTCAAAGGATGTGAACCTTTCCAAAAAGGGATTGATTTTAACTCTTCTCGATAATTGTTTCACCATTAGTATAGAAATAGATGATATTAGGGAAACTGAGATTGTCCCAGGTAACTGGAAAATGTAAAGCGCCCCACGTTTAAGTATAACCAAATAGATGTGGTATGCAAGATATTCATGTCGTTCGCCATTTCTCAAATCCCATTGTACGGCCGTGTTGCGCTCCCAGTCACCATTTGCGGGCTCAGACGGCACAGAGAAGACATGAACGCATCTTTATATAGTTATAAGCGGCCGTAAATGCTGAAAATCTGAGCTGATGTTGTTGTAATTGATGTCATTGCTTTGTTATCGACTGTCTATGGTTGTTACTGTTGCTAAGATTTTGAATGTGATACTTGTTATGATCGTTTTTGTTGTCTCAGTTACTGCTGGTTTGTTTCCAGTTTCACTGTTTCAAGTGTTGTTGATCTTGCTACCGATGTTGCTGTAGCCATTTTTGATGTTGTAAGTTACATATTTTGTTCCTACATTTTTGTTTACAATACCGCTGGCGTTGGTGTTGCTGCTGCTGCCGTTATTACCATTGTTTGTTACAGATACTTCTTTGTTACAAATGCTACTTTTGCCATTTTCAGCTGCAGCTGCTGCTGTTCTTAAACTGCTGTAGCTGTTGTTTTTTGCTGCCGTTGCTACTGCTGTTGCTATTTTGGTGTTGTATTGTTTTGTGGTGTTGCTGGTAGTACAGTGCTGCTGTAGCGATAGATTCAGTTGTGTGATACATATTCCCTTCCTGTTAATCAACCTTAGCTTCTTCGGCATAATAACGCATTTAATGACTCTACAGATTTATTATGTCTGCTCGACTCTTTTTTATTAATTCGAGGGATTTGCTAGTACTTTCGGTGGCACGTTAGTGCTGCTGCAATAAATAATCGGCAATGCATGTAATTTTAAACCCAAGTACAGCGAAATGAACGTGGAGAGTACAAGAGGTGATGACATGACACACAGTAAATTTGATTTGATCAGAGTTTTAGCTCACTCCAGCATATATATCAAAGTTTAAAGAAACAAATACACGCTTTGCATTAAAATCTACAATACGGACTTCAGTTAGATTAAATTAGTCTCAGGTTTTATTCGTCAGCACTTGGCATGCGGCCCTATAACGGTTGTATATAGTGCCATACCATGTGCTGCGCTGCTACGTGTGCTACAGAGCTCCTAGCCGTATTTTGATTAAGTAAATTGGTAGTTATGGTGGCGCTTAAAAGTTCAAGGGCCTACACAACCGCTAGATTCTACCTGAGTTTTCTCTACAACACCGAGCTTGCAGCCACTTTCCAATATGTATCGACGTAATGGCATCAATATGCAAGCATAGCATAAGTCCATTCTGTCGCGGTGAATGTCCAAGTAATCAATCATGCTAAAGCATATTCGCAAGTCCAAATTATTACGGTTTTAAGTGTGAATAATAATGATTATAATAGGTGAATTCTTTCGTCGAAGTACAATGTCGTCAGTA